ATATTGAGTTTGCACATGAAAGCTATTGGTGGAAACTTCTCCTGCTGCTATATTACAGCTGTAGCACGAATGGGTCGACTCGACTGGAGCAGGACTACGCTCTCACAGAATACCAGCATAATGCTACTGTGTTTCGTAATGTGCGTGTAAAGTACCGGAGACCCTTATTACTGGAATCAAAGCATTCCATCTTAGTACTCAGGGGTGACAGCGCTTTTGCATTTTGATCCTCAGTTGAGGATAAGATGTGGATGTCTATAGATCACAGTATCCACTTATCATCAAGTGGACTATGTATTTTATTTTTGTAATCAAAATACAATAGTCTTTTTGTAATGAAGTAAAACCTGACTTTTATATAGAGAATTTTGTATAAATTTTTTAATACCAAACTTCTTCATAGAAATGTAGTGTCTAAATATAAGTTTTAATGGTTTTAAGTGCTGCAGGTGGGTGCGGTCGCATGCGACTTCAAGGGATTTTTATTGAAATTGAGGGGTTAATCATCTAGTTTTCAGCTGTAACATATCTAAAAAACTGAATTCATATAAAACAGCTTGTTAACTTCAAGATTTCAACCCTTGAGACTCGCAGAAAAGTGCTTGACTTGGTTTTTCTGCACAAATGAATTATAGGAAACCTAAACTGCCGTAACTTACTATCCATAATTGCATTATAAGATGCCAAAAAGATTTCCCGTCTAGGCACTAAGCTTACACTACTCCATAAAAGTAACTGCAGCACAAACCTTAAGTCATACTACTCAATATCACGTTTTTACAAGGTTAATGAGGCATATTAAGAGATATGGATCTTAACAGTTAAATTACCAATAACAAACTAATTATAAACTAAAGTTATTCTAACTTATTTAAGCTGTCTATATCCTTTGTGTATTTATATTCTGACGCATCAGTTTTTCTCATGAAAATCCTGCCGTTGTGAATCCATACGTATTTGTAACCTAATTCTTTACCATTATTTCTTGCTGTAGCATGGATAACATTATTAGTTGGATATAGATGCTCAATTATATTAATTCTTTAAGCAGAAGACTACTATTAAGATTATCGCCACTTATAGCACCTTTAGTGAATTTGAATGACGCTACTAGAATAGCATCACGAATTCTTGGGCTATTGAATTGCACAACACTCATTTTGGACGGGTGCTAGTGGTGTTACAATTTGTAACAAGTATAAAATTATGAATCATCGTTTTAACTTTTGAATTTTGGCAAACATTGAAACTCGACGTTATATGATCGCGAAAGTTGCTCTAAGGCCTGCCGCTGATTGCAATTTTTTGTCACCGTGATTTATTATTACTGTCACCTGCTGTCACCCACGATGCGCTCACTGAATCTGTTCTTGGGTAACAAATCGCGTTCATTTTTGTAATGGACTTCAACGAGGTTGCCGTGATTTGTGCTCTTGAAATACGTAGAAGAAAAATGAAACGGAAAAAACGCTACTGGGTGCATCCTATATACACGGAAAGATTATTTAAAGGAAAATTCTACACTATATATTCTGAATTACGTCAGTATCCACCAAAGTTTTTTAATTATATTCGTATGTATATAAACTCTTTTGATGAATTGCTGGCTTTGGTAGATCCTGACATTTCAAGATACAAAATTTCGCAAAGCTATTCCAGCAGAAGAAAGGTCCCATAATCTTCCTTTTTAAAATTATATCGGAATATTGCTTTATATTTTTTGCATATAATGCAGGCCCCTTCTCTACCTCCTCTATTAATAATTCATTGTCAATGTCTTCCTCTTGCAAAGAAGATGACATCTTTAAAAACAAAACACAGCTATACTTTAAATAGCCTACGTCTACACCGAACGCGCGGCGCCGGCCGAGTGACAAAAAGTCACCAGTAAGCGGACTCCCATAGTAATGCACAGGGCGAGTGACAGTCACGTCACTCCGGTTTTCAGTTTATACAAAGGTACTCTGTGACTCCGGTGTTGCCTGCCGCTGCAACTATTTGTCACCGTATTATCACGTCACCATAATGAGCGCACTCAATATAGTTTTCATTGACTTCATTGACACTTGACTAAGTGACAAAAAGTCACGTCGACAAAAAATTGCAATTAGCGGCGGGCCTAATAAAGTAACTTTAGCGGTTAGATCTTTCACGCTGATCTTAAGCTGCTCATGCTTTTTTTAAAGGTCTTCAGCTTTGGTAAATTTATTTTCTACTTTTCTCTTGATGTCCATGATACTCCGTGTCATGGACGCTTTTTCTTTTATCTCTTACTTTATGGATTTCAACTCGTTGAAATAGTTAGTTAATGACTCGTTTAGGCGCTTCGTTAGTTTTTCAATTTACCGCCAAATAACTATGATTAACTCTCCTGACGAAACAGTATTATCGCTTAAGGTATTCAATTTTCTCAATAACAGCTACACAGTAGTACAATAAGTCTATGATAACAGCGTCTTTTTTAGATCAATATAGTAGTTATGTCTGTTGATAATGCGACCAGACATTTTTCAAGTTTCCGCTACGAAAATCAATTATTTACAAAAATCGGGAAGTAATTCAAAATCGAGTTCTCATCTGAACTCGAGGTTTCGAAGTCATATGAAGCTATTCTGGTTATTTTTGCGTATAATACTTATTGTATTATTACGAACAGGAAAAAATCACTATTTTCTATTAAAATTATTAAAATAATATTATAAATAATTTAGAAATATTTAAAATAAAAAGGGACTGACAGGTCAGTCAGTCACAGTCTGTCAACAATCTTTCTCTTTTGTAGAAATTATTTGAATTATCAGCCGTAAATTCCTTAATATAAGCGGTTAATATATCCTATTCAATACAACCGTGTCAACTCAGGGACTTCGCTCGATTTAATTTCAGTTACGCGAGCAACCCTCATCGACACCAGTGAAATTAAAAATTTCAATTTTAGGTGCTTACTTACTATCTGCTTGGTGGTGAAGAATAACATAAGTAAGGAATTTTTTTTATAGAAAAAGGGGCAAACAAGCATGCGGCTCAACTGATGTTAAGGCCGAATACGAAGAGAACTGGCGAAAATTAATGTATTTCTCTTGACTAGAACTTTGACCTGAAGTAATTCTAAGCTTTAAAACATTTTTGTAGGTTTGTTCGGGTCCTTCACAATGTCACCGTCATTTTAAAATTTTAAAATAAATGAATATACCAACAAATAAAAGAATGTTAAGAAATGATATATAAAATTATTGTTTTTCCAAAACTCTGTGAATTTTAATTTAGGAAAAATTCTTTTTACGTAAAAATGTTTCTATTGTAATTCCGAAGGTACCTGCTATCTTTATTTTCGATACAAAATATTATTTATTAACATAATTCGTTTTAATTAAAAACACCTAATAATAATATCGTATATTGCCAGATAAAAGTTTGCCGTAATAAATTACCAGGCGCTTCGACGTGTGACGTAAGGTAACAACAGTCGATGTGTCTGTAGCGAAAATCGTTAATTTATTGTTTTATACGCGTTTAAGTGTCTATAAATGTAAATATGGGTAGGAAAAGAAATAAATGTTACCTAAGTGGTAAAACAAAGAGAGTTTATCGCATGAACGCTGCTCGAATGTTTATTTTGAGGTTAATACTTATATTTAGTAAGGTAATTTTTTGTTTGAGGCTACCTAATAGGTTGCATTTTTACTCATTTACATTAGCCAAACTGATCATTTATACTTTTCTAGTTTCAAGTGAGAAACACTAAAAATGTAAAATATCAAGACCCAGTCGGAAAAAAATGTACAGAGTAGTGCAAGCACAGAGACCGCAAATAATGTCAGTCAATGTATTGTCCGAAAGCATGGGGTAAAAGTACATAATTAAGAAAAACCGAAATACTTCGGATGTGAAGTGATTGACCAGTCGGAGTAGTCTTGTGAGAATTTACATACACAGTACCTATCCCCACTATGGGGCAATCACCGACTTTTTAGTTTTTTTTCTTTATTATTTATGCAATTTGCATTACGGCATCTTGTAAGACTCACAAGAACAAACATTTCCAGTTATATGAGATTCTTTACGTACGATGCACCAATTAAGAAAAAAAATCGTTATCAATTCAATAACTTTTCGAACAATATTTTATAACGAATAAAGTACAGAATTTATAATCTATAGGAACTAATATTATAAATAAGAAAAATTTATTTAAGAAGTAAGCAATGCTCTGTGTTGTTCATTACTCTGCATCTGAGCTAGTTCAGTCAAATATATTCAAAGCCCGTACGGCTTTGATTATAGGTATTATACATGTCTATATAAACAAAGCGTAGGTACTGGCGGCGCGTGGTTTGCTGCGAAACTAGCAAGATCATTCGCGTCGTATTCGGCCTTAAGTGACTACCGCCGCCCATGATGAACCTCAACACCAGGGAAATTGCAGGTGCGTTGTCGGCCCTAAAATAAATCTATATCTCTAAAGAATAAAACCTTTCAAGGGCGTGTGAAGTCCACTAACGTGCGTAAGAGCAGCGCAGCGGACTTAACATGCCATACTCATAACTTCACGTGGTAGAGCCACCCTGCAGCTATATATAGCTGCAGCACAAATGGAATGGCTCTACCGGAAAAGTCCACGCTTTATCATAATACCAGCCTAAAGCAGCAGATTAATGTTGCTTTGTTTCGTATGGTGAATGTAGAGAACCGGATACCCCTTTTACTGGAAACGAGGCATTCCGTCTTATTCCTCCGGGGTAAAACGTATCTGCATTTTCATTTTTAATCGATTATTAATGTCCACATATGTTATAACATCCACTTACCATCACGTCGACTTCGTGCTTTTTTGTCACTCTAACCCTAGAAAACATCCTCACAGAAAGTTACCTGTGTCCAGCAGTAAAGTCAACAAATAAAAGAACAAAATACGTACAAACTGCATCCTATTATTTTCAACGCTAGCATGATTTGCCATGTGGGTGCGAGGCTGCTGAGTGCAGCGAAGATAAACCCACCCGAAGTGGACAGCAGCAAGGCTCGTCTCCTGCCCTGAGTGTCCGCGAAGTAGCCCCACGGGAACGCGAATAAAGCACCTGAAGTACATAAAGAAAATAACTGGATGTTATTTATATCTGTTTAGGGGAAACAAATTATAACAAAACGGTAATTGTAATGAAAGGAAATTAAATATGTTTATTTTCTCGACGTCAAAATGCTTTTTTTTCAAATGGTACTAACGAATACTGCAGGCAAAGGTAGATATTGCCTCAGGCTGTAAATGTGGCTATTTACTTACTATTATTAAGTATATATTTTTTCATTAATTTGTTTGTCATTTATACTTATAAGCTTCTCATATATATTATAATAAAATAATTAAAAATATACTTTAAATGATTACAGCTAATGACATAAGCAAAAAGTTTGAATGTTTCTTACGTTACTGCCCAAATTAAAAGCCTATTATGATGATGACGATGATTGATGTGATCCTGCGCAGTTGCTACTAAATCAATACGAAAATTGAAGGCATTTGGAAATTGTCATAGCGCTTGAAGTACGAAAGAAGTTGTCGTTCTTCACAGAGCCGTAGAAGCTCAGCTCATCAGCACTCGCCGTAAATTTACGTTCGTGAGCCCGGGCTCGATCGCTGCCGGCTCCAACGGAATAGTTAATTGAAAGTTTATTTTATCACGTGTTATTAATTTACCACGTGCTCGTCAGTGAAGAAAAATATCGTTAGTAAACCTGGGTGTCTGAGAAATAAGAAAAAAATAGATTGCGAAAATAAGTGAAGTTCGCAAAACGCATTGGGACAGTGCGGCGGACTTTTCGTAATCGTAAAATCCTTTCAGAAATGAGAGAAGGCCCGCGACCACAAGTGAGATGTATTTAGGCTGTAACTTTAACTTGTTAACTAACTTCTTCATAAAAACTAAGTGAATAGTAAGTGACCTGCAAACGGTGCTGAAGCTAAAATCCCAGTCTCAGTAGTACCGAGATGAAGGTCACAGCTGGCAGCAGCCACAACCACACTGAACCCGAACATGTCCAGCGCCCCCGCGTTGCTGATAACACAGCAGGCCGCAAGGAGTAAGTAGTTGTATCGTCCATGACCTGGAAAAGCAATTTAATGATGATACTGCTATTATCAACCTGCCTGCCAAGATAAATCCTCCCTGCAACGGTAGAGTCTCATGACCAGCAGTGAATTGCGGGGTGATGATGATGATGTCATCACCAGTAAAAAAGGGAAAAATTATCCATCGTTACCACGTACTATCAGGTGGCATCTCGGTCAATACCAATTGACCTTGACAATTGAATTGATTCAAAAACAATATAAATTACCTACATGAATGTGCTTCACTCATCGGTATTTGTACAGGAAAGGTTTTTCTTTTGAATATGATAGAATAACAGACGAGCACACAGTCCACCTAATGGTAAGTGGATGCTGTGGCCCATAGACATCGACATCTATCCTCGATTACGAATCAATACGCAGACGCGTTGCCATTCTTGAGGACTTAGATGGAATGCCTCGTTTCCAGTAAAAAAGGGTTTCCGGGTCTCTACACTCACCATACGCAACAGAGTATTAAGCTGCTATTTGACGCTGGTATTCTGTGAGAGCGTGGTCCTTCCCCGGTCGAGCCGACCCATTCGTGATACAACTATACTAGTAATATAATTGTGGCATGGTTCTACCACGTAATAAGAAGAAAATAAGTTACCCTTCTATCATAGTAAACGGAATAACGGATGGAGTAGACCCTTTTCTTGAAAGTCTCTTAATACGATTCAAAAAAATCGCCAGATTTGAAGACTACCAGAAAATCGTATAATATCTACACCATCTGGACCATTCAGGTGGTCCCTATCAGAGATTTTTATACTATAAGAAAGTGTTTGGCAACTATCGCATTTGATGGTAAGATGGTGAAGGCGTACTGACTGACCTTAACAAAATCTTATTGTTGCAGACACTGACATTGTAATCAGACGGAAAAATAGATGCAAATTATTCCACTACTTTCCTTTACGCATTTTGATGACGAATATAACAAATAATATATTAACAAATATAATTCATAATGTAGTGTACGTATAAATAAATAAAAAAAAAACTTATCGTTAAATTAAACTAATTTACGGATTTTTAACTTTTTTATTCCCAGCGATTCGGGTGCCTTATAACACACGGTCACTTGGCGTGGGGACTGCGTTTCATTCATAGAATACCATAATACACATTAGAATGGCTGTCAACCTTACTTTGTAGGAGGATTGGCGTCGCCGGGAGCACACATTCAAGCAATTACGTCGTATTATCAGTTATCACTACTACAAACATATTTTAGAGTTTAGATTAATGTTTTTGACACATAAATGTTTCTTTATTTTTGTTTCTAATATCCACGAAATATAAATACTTTCGACTTACTGGTTGTAGAATATGTTTCCTTTATTTAAATTCCATTACCCGCTGTTCTTTTGGCACGTAATTATTGCACAATTTGCCATTTTGACGCCTGACACGAAAATTGGAAACGATTGATTGTATTGACATTTATACGTGTGAATTGACATGTTAGTGGCTACACGGGCTCCGCCCACTCCCCCGTTCTATTATGTATGTATTATAGTACCTATTCCATGGTTTTATTTAATATACAGTATGCGCGTAAATATAATATCATGCAATAACTTACCAGTTAACTCGACAGCCTCATCGTAACTGTAAGGGGTATCAGTACTCTTAACTCTTCTTTCTAAGTCAGCTGTCATTTCTATTCACTTAATTAAAATAAAACTGAATAAATCTAAACTCCACATAACTTTGTCTTTGTTTTATGACATATCTATCGTAATAGATGTAAGGAAGCGTAGATCGGTACAAAAATTAATTATTTTAATCTGTGGTGACCGCGGTTAACTATGACATCTGGACGTTGAACATCTCAGTCCTTCCCGTGACTATGGGTGCTGTAAAGTGCTCGAGACGTCGGTTATATAAAAAAGTTAATATAAGGGATAAAATCCGTAAAATATAGTAATGTTTTAATGTGTAGTGTTCGCGTAAATATAAGAAATCATTAAATGTAAGAAAGTCATGTAAGACATCCTTAGTACACTAATAGTACTACAATTATTCCAACTTCAATACTACATTGCAGTCACCAACTCACTAATACGTGAAACACGTGTCTTCTGTTCCAAAAAATATTTCCTTTCGAAGACTATATGTACAGAAATTAGACACGTGAAATTATTATAGAACACGGTTGGTAAATCTGTTATTTGATCCAAAAGTTACTTTGTGTTTTTTTTTGACATTTATAATTTGAGTCTTTGTAAAAATAGTCGTAAGGTGGAATGGGTATAATTAAGCAAAAAGTGAACAGATAATGAAATTGTACACTTTAGATAAATTGTGACGATTATGTCAGGTCTGGAGCCGTGGTCACTCAGGGGCTTTGCACCCGCTATAAATTTATACGTTATATATAAATTTATACGTATCATAGTACGTGAGATACTCAGGTTCGATTCCCCAATGTCACCAAACAAAAAAATGTTAATTGCAATTTTAAGTGCTGATTTATAACATGCTTACATCGTGAGGAAACTGGTATCTCTGAGAAATTAAAGAAAACATTTCGAACACATGTCGCGCCTTACAAGTACCACTGCTCTATCAACTCTTATTGTTGTATATTTTAGTTAATAACTGATTCAGAAAGAAGATTTTTTATCCTACCGACCGTATATCGTATTTAAATCTCAAACACTTGCAAAAACAAAAACAAAAATATAACGACAAAGATCTTTAATGAATGTTACGAACAGTCATTGAATGAACAAGTACTGCCGTCGCATTTTAATATAAGTCCATTTCCCCTACTAAGTTGTCAGCTAAAGACAACAACGTTTGTATGATTTCGAGTTACGCCATCGTAAATTGTTTCACAGGGACAAATAAATACAACGTATGCGTTCAATATAGTACTCTTACTTAATACTCTGCTACTTGTGGTTCTGAAATAATTTAGGGAGAGTAGTGAGCAAGTTGATCAGTTTATGCTATGCCCTCTAAGAGCTACGTAAGAACAGAAAGGAGCACTGCGCGCATACTGCGTACCACCCCATCCGCCGATGCTCGTCATCAGAGGGTACAGTCTCCACCCCTAAAAAGAGGAAAGCAGAGCAATCTAGTTAGGGACAGAAGGGTCCCGAAAATCCTCCTCCTGTTATTAACCAGGATAAGGCCACCTGGGACTGCATCTCCCAGATTATGACCAACAAAAACATTGGCTTTTATATCGTATCGGTATCGTAGTCTCGTCTACCACGGTGGACGACTACACGGCACTTACTAAGAATTTTCGGGGGTAAAGATATATTATTCCACATCTACTCCCTTGAGGAGGAGAAGTGTCTCCGCGTGGTGATACGCGGAATCCCCAATGAGTTTTAGACCTACTTTGTAAATCGAGGATTTAATCCGATAAGGACTCTCGGTGCAGGAAGTACACCGTATGGTCAATAAGATCAAAAACACTTGGGTAGGTTGTAGGGGAAACCTTGTCCTAGTAATTCTCGACCTGTCACAAGCTGGGAAGAGAATTTTCGACATCCGCACGGTATGTTATCTGCCTGGGGTCACCATCGGGAATTCGATGGTGACACAAGAAAAAAGTCCCCGGGAAATGCCATAGAGGAAAACGACCCGTTTCCCCTCGTTACGATGGTGGTTCAAACTGAGGTTCATACCTCCTTCAGAGGGGCCCTTGAATCACTTCGAGCCCCTCCCCCAATCTAGAGGATCCTCACTCCAAAAGCGGGGGCGGGGGTGCCTCAGAACAACGTCGCCGATGGCAGAATCGTTGCATTCAATAGCTCGTGAGTCCTCGCTCACAGCTTTATTTCGATGAAGCTGTAAAGGCCGCAGGGCCAACAGTACACACATTCAGAGAAAAAAAAACTGCGTATCACAGCCACGCCGCTGCCTGGATAAGATACGGCATCATATTCTAGGAAAACGCTACCGAGGTACACGCGTTATCCATGCTCCAAAAACGTTGCCTTTGAATCATCACATTCGCAGCTCCAAGAGATTCAAGTCGACGGTTGTTCCCTAGATATAACTCATTAACTGTAACGTGCATGTAAATTTTTGAATTATACCGCTTTGTTAGAAAAAATCCTCATTATTTCCAACAAATTGGGAATAGACCCAGTCGATACGCCGCACGTCACCGTGGTTATAATCTGTTTGCTTCTGCCGCACATCTCACATTATATAATAATGGTTCCTAATACATGGCTATAAGGGTTTCCAACCATTTACTTAATAAAAGCTCTAGTGTCGTAAATTTGAAATGGTACTTTAAGAAAATGCTTCTTGTAAAAAACCTATTATAATTTTAATTTTAATTTAATTTAGAAATCAAATTTAATTATTTTGACAAATTTCTTTATTTCTATTTACTTATTTGACATTGTTAATATTTTCATCAAATATTTTAAACCTTATTAACATAATATTAATGACGAATTATCAGTATTATTATTATTATTATTTAGTTTGATATTTATAAATTAATTAATAATAATCTATAGATTGTGTACCACAAATATTGTAATTTAATTTAATTCTACATTATACATACATGTTCTGTAAATATATTGTAGCAACTTTATACTTCGTGACATGGAATAAAGAATTATGAATTATTCATTTCTTTTACGCAAAATAATATCATCTTAAAATGCTTAAGAGGAGAACTTATAAACATGATGTCAAGTCCTGCAACAAGGCATTACAAGCCTCGGTGCAAAGCTCTATGTCGAACCACCTCGCAGTAGAGCTTTTTGGTCTCTCGCCAAAGCGGTCGAGACAAACTTCTGCCAGTCCACACTGCCCCCACTGGTAAAACCAGATGGCTCACTGCGCATGCAGATAAGGGAAAAGCGGACTTATTTTTTTTTTAAATGATGAGTTGTACATTTTGAAAAAAGTGCTTCATTTTATCCTTTAAAGTAAGTTTTAACGCCACGCAGTTTAAACAGACAGATTTACTTTCGCATTCGAGTCGCATGTTACTTAAATTATATTAGATGTATTTTATCTATTTTTTTTAAATGTAGCATCACTTCTCTGACTCACACCAAGTTATAAAATTGGAGACAGTTTCATTTTAAGTTCAATACCTACCTTTTTATTTCATCCGAATGTAGGCCATACAAATACTTGTTCCGTGCGGGTTTCGAACCCATGGTCCTTAGCGCTACAATTCATACGCTACGCTCGACAAACGGCACAGAGCCGTCGAGTTCTACGTTCTACGTTTCCACTCGTTTAGATGATTAAAAAACATGCCATTTCAGGACACGGAAAAAACCGACCCGCTTCCTCTTGACTACTTTAACAATAGAAACTCTGAGGTTATAACAATTATTTATCTCACTCTGTTGAAAGTTTCTCCTTCATCTAATAATAAAACAAATAAATGAGTGTTACGTGTAAATTAGAACAAAGTAAAACATAAACACCGTCATTAATTTTATTTCCTTAGAAACTACGTGCGCGGCAATAAAGGAAGACATCGTGAGGGGATTGCATGTTTGAGTTAGAAAATATTATAAGGACATCTGCAGTCTCTCAACACGCGCTTGAGCTGCGCGGTGGACTTGCTTCATAACCCACTCATAAAAAAATTGGTTGACCCTGCAGGTCATGCCTAGAACTTCCCGCTAATTTCAAATGCAAAGCGCTCCTAATTTCACCAAATTATGTTGCGAAATCTCGAAGTTATGTTAAATATGAAAAACTAGAATATAAGTAGAATTTAATATTTGATTAGTTATGAACTTTTATTTAAAATGTTTATTAGCCTCTTTTTTTAAAGAGAAATGTATGAACAGATATATACCAATGTTCTTTAGAAAATTAATAATTTTAGAAAAAATATTCGTGAATACAATCATCATGGAATGAAATCAGTCTGAAAAGGAAGTAATATTATGCTTTCTATCACTAAACTGATTTGATGGATAGTAAAAATTAGTACTCTTTAGGTATGCCTTTCTTCTATTCGAAAAATATGAGAAGTACATGTGATGATTTCTTAAATTTACGCGAACACTACACATTGAATAAAACTATTATTTACGGATTTTATCGCGTTTAATTACTACTAATTTATTTTTATTATTATCCCGACGTTTCGTTTTAGTCATCCGAAATCCTGATAACACTATTGGTCACACTGTGTATAGGAAAAAGACCCATACCAACCGATATATAAATGGTGAATCTCACCATCATCCTTCACAGTTAGCTACCGTGGGTAAATCTTTGTTTCAGAGAGCACGAGGGATCTGTGACAGAAAACATCTGGCCGCGGAGCTTCAGCACGTCAAGCAAGTATTGCAAGACAACAAGCTTCCGGTCCCGCACCTACGTCATAGTGAACGAGTGAAGCCGGCCACGGTCGAGCGCGCGCCTGCTCTATTACCATATGTCAGAGGAGTCACGGACAAGATTGGCTACATCTTGAAGCGAGCGTCCATTAAGACATACTACAAGCCGCTGAAGAAGATTAGTCAATTTTTACCATCCATCAAATGTAATATTCCTCTACAAGATGCAGGTGTGTACAAGCTAGATTGTGAATGTGGTCTCTCTTACATAGGTCAAATAAAGAGATCTATAAAAACCCACGTGAAGGAACATATAGCTGATGTGAAGCACCGACGCTCCGGGAAGTCTGCAGTCTGCGAAC